TACTGATGCAACAGTTGTCCAGGCACACAAGCTGTCTAAATTTGTTTATAACAATATTTGACACAAAATGACGACACAGAAAAGCAACATGAAAACAATTACAGTAATGAAAATGAACAATCAGTGAATTTCTAACAGTTGACAACAAATAAAACAAAAATTGACAATTTTGTTCTTACATCTGACTTCCTTAATAAATAAAAATATGACACTGTTCAGTTTGACAATATTATGACATTGCAATACCTATTTACAAATAAAACAATCTTTACTGGCTTAGTTTAATTTTTGCTATTGTTTGTGGAATTCATGACTAGAATTTGATAGCAAAGCTATCATTGATAGCAAACATTATCCTAGTTGGTTTTACTACTGGTCGAACTAAGATAATAATTGTTGGGTGCTAAAAATGAATGTCATTTCTCTTATTAAAACACAATTAACATCATGTGATAGTCAGCACCACATCTCATTAAGATTCATTAATGTTCTTTAAGATTCATTAATATAGTTTTGTCTCTTATTGTCTGCTGTTTGAAATTAGCCATTGACATGTTCATTTTTGTGTCATATACTGTACTTGAAATTTTGGGTCAATTTCATTTGATATTGCTGCCTTCTGTTAAAAAGTTTCAGTTTTTCTTTCATCCATTCATCAAAGAACTCTAGATCATTAATTTTGGCTTGAATTTCTCTGTTTCGTACAGCAAGATTAAATTTAGTGAATTTAGAAGAGTTGCAAGTTTCTTAATAATTGTTTTTTTAACTTGTTTTAACTTGTTTTACATTTCTTAAGTGAAGGTTTGTTAAAGGTTTTGAGTAAAGAAGTGTTTAGAAAGGACACTTTGAATTCACACGAAGTACTATTGATCTTGCAAACTCCAGCATAATGTTTTTCTTTATATTACCTTAAGTAAATTTTATATCCGCCTTATTAACTTTTAATTCTTTACTTCATACTAATTTATGTCTGCATTGTGGACAAAGCTCAATAATTAATATAAAATAAAAACAATTTTCAGACTTTTTACATCACAGCTGTCAATCAGTAAGTAAAAACATAATCCATGGTAACAGAGTAAACAATTTATTTTGACTTTTTTTAAATCAAAAAGTGATCATACAAAATTTTAAATTGGATTATTTTCTATTCACTTTAAAATATAGCACCTTCAAAAATGGTTAAGTATCAATTTTAAATTTAAAAAACTCATAAAGATGGTGTTTTGGGTCTAAATTTTAAAATGACACAGCTACTATGTAGCAACATAAACTGCTTTTTTTAATATATTCACTTCAAAGGCCAACTATAGTCAAGGAGGCTCCTATTTTTTAAGTGAGATTTTTTTTTAATTAACTCTTGTCTCTCAACCCAAGAATTCCAAAACATTGACAAACAAGGCTACGGCATGAAAAAATTAACTTGGTTGCTTAAAATAATAAATAAAGATATCAAATAAAAAAAATTAACGAATTCTTTAAATTTCACAGTGATCTCATTACAACTGTATGTTTTGATTTGTGTCATTCTCTATTAAATATCTCCATATTTATATTTATATAATGAACATAACTACATTTTTTTTAAATATCCAAGAGCATAATAAACAATATATAAATGGTTAAATAGAAAGCACACCTACAACATTTCTTTTAATGTAATACAATATACAGTTTATATAGAGTATTATAATAAGTAAATTATTAACATTAATTACAACACCCCTTGATTTCAAAGTTCACATATTTTTCTGAGCTCTTGTTAAACACATGAGGTTTTTTGCTGTACCAGGCTGTCATACAATTAATTGTATGATGATGTTGTTAAATAATTCCATTTCCAGAAGGCCTGTAGACATAATGGGGTTGGTTGTTTGTTTTTTAAAAAACTAATTTATTAAATTAACTAGTCGACTAGCATCAATAAAAAAAATATTAAAAACAGTGATATTTAAAAAGAAAATGAATTTAGAAAATGGTGAGTTTAAATATATTCTTCAAGAGAGGATCAGATTTCTGATGAAAATTTTTTTTTTTAAATTTTTAAGACTTTATTGATTTAAATTTTAGATTATTTTTAAGCAATATTTTTTTGTTGCTAACAACAAAATGAAACTTTTTAACAAACAATTTTAACTAATAAATTTACTTCAAGCAAAGAGCTATAAAACCATCTTATCTAAGTTTAACTTTTAAGATAGTTAGTTACTAAAACTTATATGTAATAAAATATACATAAAAATTAATTAAATTTATACTCCCTTTGAATATAAATATATATTAAAAAATATATACTGCTGTTTATTTATCTACAAATTAATCTTAAATAAAAAAAGTCTATTGATTTTTATTATTAAAAAAGTCTATTGATTTATAAAAATCATCTATTTACAAGCGCTATAATTGTGCCTCACTGTTTATAACTGTGAGGCACAATTATAAGGCTCGTTATATACAGTTATAAACTCACAAGTTTATAACTGCTATTTTATAAACTTACCATTATCAGAAGCATTCGACACCTGATGTGATGGTGACAATGTTCGAGTAGAAACATCTGATCTTGATCTACTTACACATCCACCCATCACTGATAATTTCTTAGGGTCAAATCATTAGCAACAACATACTTATTTATTTTTTAAATTAGTAGGACTAAAAATATAAACAATTTAGTTAAATATTAGAACCAATCAAAAGTGTATATATATATATATATATATATATATATATATATATATATATATATATATATATATATATATATATATATATATATATATATATATCTGTGTGTGTGTGTGTGTGTGTGTGTGTGTGTGTGTGTGTGTGTGTGTGTGTGTGTGTGTGTGTGTGTGTGTGTGTGTGTGTGTGTGTAAATGCAGAGGATGCCTGATTTTTGTAAAGATAGCTCAATAACACCACAACTCAATAGTATACAAATAGAACAACAAAATTAAGAATGAAATCTTATTGATAAAAAGATATAAAAACATCATACCTTGTTTTGGATTTAAAATGCATTTCTTTTTAAAAAAATTAATTATGAAGACAACCATTAAATATTTTTAAACTTGAATTTCTTAGATTTTTTTCAATAAAAGAACTTACTAGGTAATCAATTGGCACAAATTAATTTGTCATATTTTTTTTTAAACAAATGGTTTTATAAAACTCTGTACATGTACTAAACAACAAAAAATACTAGGAAAATATTTAATCGAACCATAAGTTTAGTTTTCTCTTGATAAAAAGCATTCAGTGCAAACTTTAACAAGATTTTATTAACTATTTTGGTTATATGTAACACACAACCACCTTAATAACTAAGGCCGGTTCTTTTTATAGAACATATGAGAACAATAAAAGTTGTTAATTGTAAAACTTGCTTTAACAATCGGTTGAAAATTTATATATGAATTTAAATTAAGACTTAATTTAAATTCATATATAAATTTTCAACCAATTGTTTAAGCAAGTTTTACAATTAACAACTTTTATTGTTTTCATGTTCTATAAAAAGACAAAAATCAGTTAAACAACAGAATATTAAAACATATATAATTTTAAAATGTGGAAAAATATATATTATATTTTTACTTTCATTTTTATTTTATTATAATTATACAAATGTAAAGCAGAAAAGTACAAAATTTTACATAAAATATTTAATAAACAAAAATGCAAAATCAAGCTAATAAATTACAAGGGCACCAAAAACTAAAAAAGGTCTAACACCTATTTCGCTTATGAAAATTTTGGGAAACTACACTATCTAGTAATTTTAAATAAACATTTTTAAGTTTAATTTAACTATCAGTTCAAGCCGATTAGATTTCTGCTCTCCATCGGCAATCATATATTTTTAATGGGCTTGAGAGCTTATATAAGCTAAAATTTAAATCTTCCAATCAAACTACCTAAAAAGATAACAGTATTTTTAGGGTGCACGGTTATTTCAAAAATGAGAAGATAAATAATAGTTGCGCAAGATTAGGGTAAATATTTAAATAAATAATTCCTTTTTATAATTGTCTTTCTATCTTAACCCTCTTTCGGTAGTACTTAAATATTTACTGAATACTCTGTTATTAATATATATATATATATATATATATATATATATATATATATATATATATATATATATATATATATATATATATATATATATATATATATATATATATATATATATATATATATATATATATATACATATATATATAAAGAATTTTTTGATGTTTGAGAGAGCTAATTTCCAGACATTTGTATGTTTGTTTGTCATATGTCTGGAAAACATATATTATGTCAAGTAAAGATGCTTTGCAAAAATTGTGATAAGATTTTGCCGAAGCCGAAACTTCGACCAAAGTCACTCTGCCGAAGCCGAAGCTTTTGCACTTACATAGGTAATTGCTATCTTGCAGATCTAGCTATCTAGGGATAATACTAATTGCTCAAAAACATTTTTAAACATTTTACTACAATTATTATTGTATTATATGCATATTGTAAAATATATCTACTGCAATTATAAAATTTTAGCGCACAAGGTATTTTACTGTAACAAATCATCAAGGTTTTTTTTTTAAATTACCAAATGTCATAGGATTTTAGCATGTAGAAAAGCGTTGTTAGAACAAATTTAATGTTACATGAAAAAAAGATAACTAGCTAACAAGTAATTACTAGTTACAAATTAGTAGTTGAATTAGGGTGTGAATTATAAAACTAATTTGGCTTCTCGTCAACTTAATCAAGTCTAAACTTTAAAATTATATTATAAACAATGTTTAGTATACATTAGTTTGTACTTTTGATTATAATAAAATTACCATTTAGTAATTACTAATAATAAACAAGGGAAGTTATTTTTATTATACTTATCAGTTTACACGTTTAAATTAATTATCCATTGTTAGAAATTAGGCAAACTATAAATTAAAAACGTAATCTGTTCTCCATGCTCAGGCAACAGCCTATTTCTTTTGGCTTAAAATATGTTTCCCGTTGTGCTGAACACAGGTTCACTCTTAAAGGATGAAGTAGGTGCGCATAAAACTTTCATTGAGAACCTTACCAAATCCTACTTATTAGTGTCTTTATCGGAGCAAGTGTAATTGTAAACACCCCGCCACTTATTAGAGCATTCATTTTTTAGTAATGTTGAGAGGCTAAAGTTAAAGTTGACTTCGTCAATGTTAAATCAAAATTATGAATCAATTAAAAGTTTAAACTAATATTTTAAATTTCTAATCAAGTAAGGAAAAAATAATACTCTTATTCAACTTATAAATAAACATTTATAGTTGATAAATAATTATGTATTGCATGGGAAATTAAAGGTATTAAATGCAACCAGACCTGTAACTGCAGAAAGACACGGCCTGTCTGTATATAGTTTTTGTCTGCTAGCAGGGCCGTCCCGAAGAGATTATAAGGGGGGAGGGCCGTATTTGTTTTTTGCCGACTAAAGTTAAAAATTTTTTTTTGCCAACTAACTTATCTATATTTGCCCACTAACTTATTTATAATTCTGGTGTGCAAATAAACCTGTAAATAAATTTCTATTAACAGAGCTGAATGCAACATAATAATTAATTTGAAAATTAACATCAATTTTTAATTAAATTTGTAATAAATTTAAAAAAAATTGCAAATTTGTTAAGATATTTTTTATTTGTACGTTTTTTCTTTTAAATTTTGAGTTTTTCCTCTAGGATTTTTACTATTATACTTTTTTCCCCCTCTATCAGTGTTTTCACATTTCTTTGAAGCATTTTCATTATACCAATACTTCAAATGAAAGTAGTTGTACCCTTGATATAAAATCTCCTTAAATATGCTATAATCTGTTTCTTTAAATTTTTTTATTTGAAACGGGGTTTGAGAATCATTGCAATTTTCAGACGTACATTATCTGTGCATTTTTGAAAATGACTTTTAAAATCAGTTTTAAGTTCAGCAACAACAGTTTTGATTCCAGTTGATTTTTCTCTAAAATAGTCAAGAAACGGTATGATCTTTGATGTGTCTGCTCTTAATTTTCATAGCGCTTTCAAAGTGTTTTAGTACGCATACAAGTATTGCAGCATGATGCGATTGATTTTCTGCAGGTTATCTGCTTCTGTTATTATAACCATTAATTATTCATGTTTTTGAGTGATTATAAGAAATAATTTTTTTAGCGTACGTTTCAAGCGCAAAAAAACTAAATACAAGTTACAGTGAATAGGTTTTAGTAAATATAACAACGAAATTAAATTAAAAATAAAACTTAAATAAAATATAAAAACGTACCCATTAATTTTTATAAGCTGGCAAACAAAAAAAAATATATATATGTTGCGGCACATTGCAATTAATGCCGCGGTATACGTCAAGTAAAGTAAAGAAACAAAATTACAAGTAGTAAAATTATAGTAATTATATTGTAAGCAATAAAATTGTTTTATATTTAATATAACAGTAGCTAATTATCTTTAATTACCTAAAAAAATTCGCCGAAGCCAATGCTTCGGCAAAAACTGGCCATGGCTTCGCAAAAGTGTCGAAGCTTCGGGATGCCGAAGCCGAAGCTTCAGTACATCCCTCAAAAAAAGCCCTAAAACTATGGCCACAATTATCTCAAACGTTAGGGCAACAAGTTAATAAAATATCTTTTTTACTTTTTTTAAATAAAGTCATATTCATCTATAAATTTTAAATTTTATACAATAATTTCTTAGCGATTAAAAATTATAACTATATAAAGTTTGAACCCCTCAATTGGAAGGGGTTACATTATTACTATATAAAGTTTAAATCCCCTTAATTTGAAGGGGTTACAATTTTTATAAGGTCATAATTTTTTTACGTTATGAGATTATAGTGAGAAATTTAGAATTAATTAATGAATATAATCTTATTTAAAAACAATAAAAAATGTTTTTTATCAACTTCTTGCTTTCACGTTTGGGGCAGTTGTAGCCAAAATGTTAGGGATCTTTTAATCCCAGGCTCCAATCGTCACAATTTCTTGTAAAAATGTTCTGTGTTAACAAAGGAAATATGTAACATATCCGTGGAATATGCAAGGTAATCTATAATAATTTCTTAACAGAAAAAAATTCATATATGCGAAAACCGATATTATAGTGTTTAAGTTGGTCTTTCTTTTGATTTTTAACTGTTTCAATATAGGCTTTTAATTTTATGAACTATAACATCGTCAAAATCATTAAACTTTCTAATTATACTTAATATATTTTAACTGTAATTAAAATATATATATTGTAACTCAAATAATAACATTGTAACGTACTTTTAGAAAATGATTAACTTTAAGGGCTTCCTAAATTAGTTATAATAGCTGGAATTCTATCTAAAAGTAGATTTTGCACCACATAATGTGTATTACATTAAAATCTGCTAACTGTTAAATTTTTTAATTAAGCTGTCTTTAGAATCGGATTCAGCCGATTATTAAATTATTACGTATTTTTTAGCAAGCAAAAATCTACTAAAAGGGGAGAGTCATGACAAGTTTCGAATTAGTCTTTTTAAGATTTATAAAAATCTTAATAAGATTTTTATAAGATTTAAGATTACCAAGAGAATAAAAAGTTCAAAAAGTTCTTGATCGAGGTCCGTTAATCCGCTGTTATTAAGAG